TTTAAAAAAAAAAACCTGGCATTATATTGATGCCAACGCTGCTCATCAGCTAGTTGGACCCAAATCCATACTAGCAGGGTATAAGAGGGAGGCTGCTTTCAGACTTCTCTGATCCACAGAATTAATTGATTCCATGTAAGCAGACTGCATGTGCTTATATGACTTAGCCTCCATTGCTCAGATCTTATTGGCATAGAGTCATAATGAAGCAGCAGAGAGCACTTGTGTATTATTAGATTGCCCTGTTCTGAATGTCTTTGTCTGTTTTCCCAGGAAAGATTCCTGGAAAGAACACGTCAACAATTTCCTGCCACTACATTTGACTAAATCATTACCATTGACCAAGCACACATAGTATCTTGTGCTTATCTCCCTTATCTCCCTTGAGTGCTAGAACATTTCCCTTGAGGAGGAAATGCAGCGGGCAGGCTTTACTTGCACACGCTGTACTTTTCTCACTGAATTCTTGGTAGCACAGGCTCAGCTCCCTCTAACTTGGAACAATCTGTGCTGTATTTCCTGTAGGTCAGCCTCACAGCAGATTCACTCCGCATGAGTGCTCATCAAATTGAGTAAGTGTTTTAGTGACAGTTGGACTCCTACCTTAACCTAGTTTGTGTGGGGGGGTTTAAAAGGCTGTGTGAGAATTACTACAAGATGCTGATTTTGTATTGTATCAACGTATCCTCTTCTGAACACTGTCCAGGAATTCTCTGGAGCCTTGCTCTGTGGAGGTTTCTATAGCATGGAAGAAATACATGGAAGCAGATCATAAGCTGTCTGATCCATGCTCTCTTGTGCACTGCTTTGAGTTTGGAGCATAAGCATAGAACACTAAGGTCTGTTTCACTCTGCAGTAAATATATGGCTCCATGGAAGTTGCATGTGCAGTGAGACCAGGATGGGATAGAGAAGGAATCTGTTCCTGTAGATGTTTCTTCCTGCCTGGTGAGCAGTACAAGTGATCACCAGAATTTGAGTGCAGGGCAGGCCAAATAGATGCTGCACCGATAACACTGCTGCTCCTGACTAACATGTAATGATTGAGGGCAAATGCACAATTGGCAACATGCAAAGAATCTTATAGCTCCTCAGAGCAGGTGATTGACACTTATTGCTTGCTTGGATAGTCTCCATTTACCCAGCAGCCTTGGGTTACCTTCTCGTCCCACCCTCAGGGATCTGCAATATCAAGGTCTGCATCTCTGTATTTATTTTCCCATGTTCCTGTACTCCTAGACCATTCCCCTCTCTTCAAAAATGTCAGGAGAAAAAAGGTTTTGGCTTAGCGAGGCTTCCCATTTGAGTCAGCTGGAAACCGATCTCAGACAATTGTTACTAGGTGTGATAAGGCAAACTGATCTTTTGCATAAGTTCACATGTGCTTGCACTGGGTGATCAGAGATCCCAGTTTTAAAGGGACAGGACTGTATTTAAGCCCTCCCACAGGTATCCTGATGCTCTTAAAAATGGGCAGATTGTCATGGTTTTTGTGTCTCCTCCCTCCCCCCCCCTGGTGGCTGGATCCCTGCTCGCCAGCAGGCTGTCCTCCAGGTCTGAGTGTCTGTGAGTGTGTGTGGGGTGGGAGAGGTCTGATAACTAGCTGCTGCCTAGTGCCTGCCTGTATGTACCCTACCACTGCGGCTCAACGTGTGCAGTAAGTGTCGGTGGGAAACGGGACAGGGTTCAGGGCTTTGCTGGCCATGAGTGGGCATGCAGTGGGGGCTGTACTGGCAGATCAGCAGTGAGCAGCTGCTCCATGCACTGCATCTTTGCCCTGCCACCAACCTGGCACATCCACTCCCATGTGTTGCCTCTGCTGCCCGCCCATCAGCCCTTTATGTGCTCCGCCCTTCTTGCTGTCCTCTCCCTGCCTTGCCCCTTTGCTTCCACAAGCACCACTGCTCCCCATTACCTCCTCCCCCCAGCAAGGCATGCCCAACCCTCATGCTGGGTGGAGACCCAGCCCTCCCTCGGAGAGCTCAGGTCACTAGTGTTTGGCCTTCCCCCCACAACCTCTGGTTGGGCGAGTGCCCTGGGAAAGCTCAAGACCCTCTGGCCTAGGGCTCTGGTCAGAATGAGTGGAGCCCTGCATGTGCCAAAGCCCCGTGTAGTCTCTCTGTCTTTCAGCTAAGCTCTTGGAGTGGCATCTTGGAGACACCATCACAGATAGGGAACCACATCACAGAAAATTCCCCAATCTCCACCCCCCATTGTAGCATCCATGTTTCCGAGAGAAGAAGGTATTGATTGCTTTGGCTGCTTATATAACAGCAGCCTCCACTGTAGCTTTTTCCCCACTCAGAGTTGATTCCCAGCTGACCACTATCTGTCTAGCATTGCAAGTTTCCACAGGGCACTTGCCACACACTTCCCCACTGCCAGAGCGGGTCTCATTCATGTGTTCCTGCACTTCAGGGTGGGGAAAACAATTCACAAAGTTCCATGAAGGTGGCCTTGCACATTCAGAAGTTTTGCAGCCACTGCTGATTGTCCTGTACCTACCTGCAGTGCTATGCAGTCCCACCAGTCTGTGCTTGTCTGACGGCACCAGAACCAGCAGTCCACTGTTTCCAAAGGTTCAAATGCCAGCAGCATTTCCAATTTGCTCAATTCATGGGCTTCCACAAACAGCATGTCCATGACCTCCCAAGTTCGTCTTCTTGCTGACATTCAAGGCATATGGTCTTGAAATACTGCACCATTAGGTACAAAAAGGTAGATATCAACAGCACAATGCATTGATGCATAATGGGATCCAGGCTTGTGCTGCTAAGGCATCTGTGTGAGTAACAGGGACCAAAAAGGGGAAAAAAGACTGTTTCTCTTTGATCTCAAGCAAGGGGAGAGGGAGTAGATGAGTGCAATGTGGGATGCTGATGACATGAACATAGAACCATTCTCTGCACAATTTTGGTCCCAATGTGCACTGGGAGCATAACCCAGAATTCCAAGTGGTGCAGGCACTGTGAGAGAGCTACTCAAAGTGCATCGCTCTCCAAGTCGATGGCAGTCTCCCTACTGGAGGCATGCTACTTTGAACTATGTTGAATTCTTGTGCACAGTAGGAACATGGACCTTTGACTTTACAAAATTGGGTGATAAGAAATTTACCTTCAATAAATTACTTTCCTATGTGCAACTTTTGTGGTGTTGGAACTTGTCAGAAAAGTGCTCATCTTTTTCAGAGTTACGCATTCAATAATTCAACAAAATGGAAGTTGCTTTCAGAGAAAAAGATGGGGGAGGAGTTTCAGCTATTTTCTAGCCAAGTGAAGAGTGTCCAGCATCTTGGCGGGGAATTAGACTAGACGACTCTTGTGGTCACTTCTAACCGTATGGTTCTATCCTTCTATGCCTCTGTATCTATTAAGCCTGCCAAGATAGACACTGCTGGAGACACATATCAATGAGTAAGCATATTATTGCTGTCTCTCTGTTTTCTGTAAACCACTGCTTTTCTTTGCTGCTCACTTTCACTTTTCCTATCATTTCTTTCACTATGTCCACATGATGCTTTCTTTTTTAGGTTTCACCCTTGGGGGTATCAAGTTGAAGACCTACCTTTTCTATGCTTCTGATCCATCCTGGAATCTTTCCTCTTTCATTACATGGACTTGGTCAAATTTCCCTTCCTGTTTAAACATTTAAAGAATTTCTTACTTGGGTTTTTGAGAGAGAAGTAGTTCTAGCTCACTCTCATTGACTAGTTCTACAAAAGACAGCCCAAAATATAGTATTTTCTTATTTGAAGCATAACCATTAGAGTTGTGTGAATAATGGATTTGTCTGTTCCAAAAAAAAAGAGAAAAAATTGGTTTGGGTCAAATAAAAAATGAATTTTTAAAAAATGTTGACAAAAAGTTTCAAAAATACATTTTGGATCAAACAATTTTTTGTTTAATTTTGGAGTGAACACCTTTTTTTAACAAATGAAAACACAAAATTTTGACACAAAATTGTTCTCAACTTAAATGTTTCAATTTGAAACTGTTGGCATGAAACTGACTTTTCCTGAATTTTTGGGGGAGAGTGGGCTCAACATGAACGTTTTGCCAAAATAGACATGAAAGTCACAAATGTGTTTTGGTATTGTTAGATTTGCAGAGTTTTGGCCAAAAATGTCACTCAGCACTAATAACCATTTCAAGATCAGGCAAATATGTGCACATGCTAAACTACATTATATATATACAGAGAGAAATTCATTGTGTGGGACAATGTCAGTGCGTGGATTTACCTGAGTTTGATTTTGCTTGAGTTTCAGTTGAGGAATGATCTCTTGTTGTTCTTTTTGAATATTGTGTACATTTTGCATGTTGGACTGACTCATGCAGTGTATTACTTCTTTTGTTTGGTGAGTTTCCCCAGTATCTTGGTATCATGGGCTAATTGATCATCTTTAGTTCCAGCTGTTCCAGCTTGTTACATTAGAGTTGTCCAGCACAGAATGTCAAGCTCACTGACATTGAAATTATTCCTTGGTATTCTCTAAATATCCCTTGCTTATTTTCATCACCTTATTCCTTTGCGCCTTTTAATTCCTTTCCTATTTATTTCCCTCACAGGGTACGGCTAGACTCCGGTATCCCGAAAACTCCGTCGCATCCAGGGAACGAGTTTGTTCTTACGCTTTTTTTTTTTTTTGGTGGAAGAGCAAACATGCTCTTTCAGAAGCCCCTGTATTCCTCATTCATCCCAGTCTAAATGGACCAAATTTTGGAAAAGCCTCTTCCAACAAAAGTATCAGAAAAATGTATCTTTTTCCGATATATCCTCACAGTCTAGAGGAACCCACAGTATTTAAAGCATATAATACATCAGTAATACTTCATGAAAACAGATCTTCTCTACATTTGGGGATAGCCCCAATTCAGTGACCAGTAGAGCCGCAGTGTAAACAAGGGCAATCTGGGTTTGCACCTCGTCCACTAGCAGAGGTCAATATAGGGCAGCTACATTGCACCCTTACCTCGAAATACATTTCAAAATAGCTTATTTTGAAATTTGATGCTGTCTACGCAGCGCCAACTTTTGAAATAAAGCGATATTTCAAAACGTCCCTTAATGGGACACCAGAAATAACAGGCGTGCGATTCAAAATCTCTTTTGAAATAATGGGCTGCTTAAAATACACAAAATAGCTATTTTGGGATAGGCTACATCTATGCTGCAGAGCTATGGGTACAGCTGCACTGATTACTGAGTCCAGGCTATTTCAAGTGACCAAAGAACTTGCATCTGAGACTGTGAAAAGTATCACGTTTACACCGTTTCTGAGAATGAAACTTGATCAGAAGCAGATTCCTTCCTGCCATTGGTTAAGTAATAAAGGCATGTGTTGGCCAGTCTCAGCCCTGAGTCACCATGGCAGTATATTTATAATTTCTCTTGGGAAGTAATTTTAAAGAAAAAATCTGTCTCCTAGCCATGAATGAAATGCTGCCATCTGCAGATCTTCAGTCAACAGGAGATACTAAAAATAGGCAGCGGGATTTATTTAACAGCCAGATTGTGATTAGATGAGTGAGGTAATACCTTTTATTGGACCTTACATAGTACTCTGAATAAGATGAGAAGCTTCTCTCTCTGGCTACGTCTACACTGCAGGTTTTTTGTGCAAGAAACTTTTTGTGGAAGAGATCTTCTGCAAAAAGTTCTTGCACAAAAGTGCGTCCACATCTCAAAAGCGACGCACTTTTGCGTAAGAGAGCGTCCACACTATCGTGCCAAGGGTACCAGGTCCATCCATCGCCATGCATCCGCTTTCACATATAAAGCCCCCCTGAACCAGTTCTAGCTTGGCTAGAGATCACCAGTTGCTCTCGAGTGGTGTTGCCAGAGCCCAGCAGAGACACGCACTTAAAGGGACCCTCCTGGACAGCTGTTTCTCTGTTTCTGCTGCCTGTTTGCAGACCTCTCTTGAGTGACAGCAAAGCTTCAGCAGTGCCTGCAGTGGTTGCCCTCTTCTTTTGGGGGACTCCACAGCTTTTTGCTTTGCTGTGTGCCATGGAGCCAGAGCTGCCCCTGGGCAGGTGACAGCCCCACATGGCCATGCTGCAGTTCCTACAGCACTTGCTTCCAGTTGCCTACATATTAATGCTGGACATGGACTCAGGACTCCTCGTTACCCTCTGCATGGTTGCGGCTGCTCCAGTCTGGCTGCTACACCCCACCATATACAGAAGGTTCTGGAGGTTGGAGACTAGTTCGGACTGGTGGGACCAGCTCGTCATGGAGCAGTGGGATGACCAGCCCTGGCTGCACAACTTTAGAATGCATGAGGCCACCTTCTTTGAGCTCTGTGCCTGTCTCACTCCTGTCCTCCAGAGACGCGACACCCACCGGTGGTCTGTCATTCACCTGCAGAAGCGGGTCGCAATTGCCCTCTGGAAGTTGGCCACCCCAGACAGCTACCGCCCAGTGGCCAACCAGTTTGGGGTGGGGAAGTCCATCACTGGGGCCCAGTTTATGCAGGTGAGGAGCTCACAGGCTGCAGTCCATGCACAGAGGGGGATGTGGGGAAGGTGCTGGATAAGGGGGACCCTTGGGAGAGAGGAGGCTGGGGACTGTAGGGGGTGAACTGGGGTCTTGTGCTGTCCTGCCCTCACACAGTCCTGCTGCCGGGGGGGTGGGGAGTACAGGCTCGTAGTGGGTGGCTCCTGTGAGGGGAGGGGGGGCAGAGAAAGGGAGCGGGACAGGCACTTCCCAAGGGCTCATGCAACCCCTCTCTCATTCTCGGTTGTGTGTGTTTCTGTTTCCCCTGCAGGTTGTCACTGCCATTAACTCCCTGCTGCTGTGCAGAGTCGTCTATCTCCAGGACCTGGAGGCAACTATGGTCGGATTTGCTGCTCTGGGGTTCCTCAACTGTGGGGGAGCCATTGATGGCATGCACATCCCCATCCAGGCTGGACCATCAACCAGTTTATTAATAGAAAGGGCTACTTCTCAGTAGTCCTGCAGGCTCTGGTGCACTACTGGGGCCATGTTACAAACATTCACGTGGGGTGGTCGGGAAGGGCATGCGATACCCAAGTTTTCAGGAATTCTAGCCTGCGCACCAAGCTGGAGGTGGGCACCTTTTCCCCCTGCCAGGACTTTGCGGTGGGTGAGCACAACATGCTAGTGTGCATAGTGGGGGATGCGGCATACCCACTCATGCCCTGGCTGATGAAGTCCTATACCAGCCACCTGGATCCCAGCAAGGATCTTTTCAATGCCCACTTTAACCGAGCCCAAATGCCTTTGGGCACTTCAAGGGACACTTCTGCAGCTTCCTCACCCACCTGGTTGTCAGGGAGCACAATATCACCAAGGCGGTGGCTGTGTGCTGTGTGCTTCACAATATGGTGGAACAGAACCGGGGAGGCCTTCCTCCCAGGGTAGGGGCCAGCCCCCAGCTGTGAGGGCCATGCATGTGAGCAGCCCTAGACTGCTGCCATTCGCCAGGCCCATCAGGCTGGTGTGCATATCCAGGAGGCCCTAAGGGAAAGGTTCTCTCAGGCCCCCCAGTAACTCTCACCAGGGCCTCGCCAACAGGGGCCTCTGCCTTTCTGCTCTCTCCCTGTTCCTTCTCACCCCCTCCCCTTGCCCCTTTCCTGGCCTCCCAATAAACACATCTGTTTGGTTTGAACAAAAAAGGAGCGCTTCTTTATTGAACATGAGGAGAAGGTGGGCAGAGGGAGGGGGAAATGTCTGAACTGGGAGGGGGCATCATGACTGGGAGGAGTTGTAGGGCGGCTGGCAGTGCCACCTTGGGTGTGGGGAACCTCTTCAGTGTTAGGTGTGTCTGGGGCAGGCTGGAGGGGCGGCTAGAGTGGGGTCAAGGTTGGCAGGGGAGCAGGAGGAGGGGCCATAGGCACCACGAGGGGAGGGGGCATGGGCAGTGGGAAGGGAGGGAGCAGAGGTATGGCATGGGGAGGGATGAGAGGCATAGCAGGGTGGGCAGATGGATGGGCAATGGCCAAAGGAGGTGTCGCCCCACGCCATCATGTCAGTCCATGCACGCTCCCGCCATTCCAGGTCGGCATTCAGCCTGCGCAAATAGGTTGTCGTGTATGTCATGCATGACACTGACGTGTTGCCGCATGAGGTCCTCCGGCACCCTGGCTCATCTGTGGGTCCCCTGGACTCTGGCAAGTGGCTGCAGTGGTGGTGTGGCTGGGCCCTCCGTCCAGGCTGGTCTGGCTGTAGAGAATGCACAAGAGGGAAAGGCCGTCAGTGCTCCCTGGACACACATTCCCTGTGCCTGTGCCCTCCTCTGTGAGTCACCACACCAGTCTGCAGCCCACAGGAGGGGGATGTTCCAGATGCAAGGCCATGTGTGACCTGCACTACACACCCTGTGTCACAGGGGCCACAATGTGGCCAGAGGACCATGGTGCCCCTTTCCCCACCCCCCCACAGCCAGTCAGGCAAGAGAAGAGTGCAGCCACAGTGGGATCCCCTCATGGGCATCAGAGGAGCCATGAGCAGCCTGGCCCTCCCTGAGGTCTGCACACACAGCTGCAGCTCGCTGTGCTATCTGTGGGAGTGGCTGGGGCCTCGCACGTGCAGGCATGCCTGTGTGCAGTGCTACTGGGTGTGTGGAGGGTTGTGCCTGCGCCCTTGGAGCTAGCCTGCTTGCAGCTGGGTGCACCTCCTTCCCCACTGGGGGCAGAACTTGTGTGACCAAACATGAGACTAACAGCAGGATCCCAGCCATGTTCAGGGGCTACTTTCTGTGTCTGAGTGCCGCACCCTCCAGCTACACATGCTGGCTGAGGAGCCCAAGCTACACTGTACCCCCTGCGCCCTTTGTGCCCAACTCCCCTGCCGTGTGTGCGTCTGCGTGTGCGTGTGTGTGTGTGCGTGCATGTGCAACTCACCTGAAGATCCCTCCCAGGCATCTGAGGAAGCCTGGAAAATGTCCCAGCTGGCACTCACTGGCTTGAGGGACAGGATGACAGTCCCTGGCTCCTGTTCCTCCTCCATCTGGGGCTAGACCTGGCCCTCCAACTCCTTCTTCGAGGTGACCTCTGGGTAGACGACCACCTGGGTTTCCAGGCCTGAGCCCACCACAATGGGGGAGGGCTGGAAGAGGTTTCCCCATCTCCCAAGATGTGGTGGAGTTTGCTGTAGTAGGGGCAGGTGTGGGGTCCTGCCCCTGAGCGTGCCCTGTGCTCAGAGGTCCTGACGTACCCCTGATGGAGCTCCTGTACCTTTGCCTGGACTTGCTCCATGGTCTGGGCAGGGTGACCTTGCTCCGCCAGGGATACGGCCATGCGGGAGAAAATCTCCTCATTGTGGCACTTGGCCCAGGGATCCTGCAGTGACTCCTCCTCACCCCACAATGCAAGGAGGGTCACAATTTCAGGGCCACTCCAGGTGGGGGCATGCCTTTTTGTCCCCTGGGGGGGGGAGTCCTGGGACCCCGGGACTGCTCCCTGGAAGTCTCAGGGAGCTTGTTGTGATGCCATTTGTGGCAGAAGCAGAGCCGCATGGTGAAGGCACCTGCTCCCTGCAAATTTCCTGCCACAAGGCTTGTCCAGGGTGCCTGCGGCTTTAAGGGGGGGCCAGCAGACAGGAACTATAGAGTTGTGATTAACTTGGCCAGAGTGGCCAAGAGGTCACCTGTTTTTTTTCCTGGAGGCCAATTCTTTCACAATAACCCCTGCTGAGCATCCACACTTGAGCAAAAAGGAGTTTTTCCTTGTAGACTGCAAAAAGACCTCCATTCTGTCGATTGACTGTAAATTTTCTTGCGCAAAAATGTGCTTACGGTGTGGACGTTCTGTGAGGTTTTGAGTAAAAATAGCAGGTTTTGTGCAAAAATCCTGTAGTTTAGTCATAGCCTCTCACTACCAGAAGCTGGTTCAATAAAAAAAATTACTTCACCCGCCTTGTCTCTCAAATACCTGAGACTGTCACAGCTACGACAACACTGCATGCAGACTGTGTTACTAGCAGTCGCCAGCTGCCACCAAAAGGAGTCTGCTCATCCTAATGCTCCAACTAAAGTATTATCAAATCAGTGACCTGGAGAGAGAATTGTCCCCCGATAATTACCATTATTCTTGGTTATTACACAAAATGCTTTTTACTTGGAAACAACTATTACTTGGTAAAACAGATACTTGCTTAGTTACTGAGCATTTGTTTTTTGCTGCTCTTGGGTGGGATGCTCTTCCCTCAAACAGGTGAAACGCAAGAATAGTTCTCCTGAGGTTGATAATCATTCCAGTGTGAACTAGAATAACTAAATTTGGAACTGGAGCTTCTGAATGCAGAGATGGGTAAAGTTATAGGTCTTATAAGCAGAGATGAGCGCCAACCAACATCCTATTCTGACCGCTCCAGGATTTGGGAGAGGATTGGCAAAGGTTTTGGAAAGGATCATTGTAGAAACAGGGACGAGATACAAATTTTGGATGGAGATCTTGATTTTGGGGAAAGATGGATCCAGGTCCAAGCCTGCAGCTCAGAATACATATCTTCAAAGCCACTATCCCTATTGGCACCAGTGGGCTTCCTGGGAACCTCATCAAGTCTGCCTGTTTTTAAATGGGTATGAAAACTGAATTGCCCTTTACACGGGGGGTGCTGTCATTAGATCAGAGATGACAGTAATTGTGGAACTATTTGAGAAATTCACTGTTGCTACCTATCTCTCAAACAAATAACAACTCTCTCTGAG